GACTAATAGCTGCATATGTTCAGACATGAGACTCAAAATACGAACAATACGCATCCCTAACAATATTTCCTAATTTTTTACTGTTTTCTATGGGACAACTTGCTGGCTGCTCGAACTGCAAAGCACGTCTCTGAACATCAGCCTTCCACCCATTGATAAGACTTTCTCTCTTGCTCTCAAATATTGTACAGAACACAATATCCATTTATAATGGTGGGAACATTGTTGTTGTGTTTCTCCTGCTGCTTCCAGCCAATTTCATAAACAGCACCATCTACCTTTCAAATGGATCAGAGGCAGGCCCACAACACAATAAAGAGACTAACTTTCAGAAGTACTGAAGACCCCACTCTTTCTCCACTAATCTAAATAGAATTGAATTATGAAAGATTCTGATATGGAGGTCAACCAGTCCTTGGATCACCATGGAGAAATACTGCTTCCTGTTAATAAAATTCTGTGCCCTGATGTGTGTTTGTGTGGGGGGGAGGGGGTGATGATAGGCATATGGTTTCCATCAATTTCCCAATACAGTTTGGGAATCCTATGTGTGCAAAGCCATCAATAATTGCCTGAGCAGTACCTAGTTTTTCTGACCCAGTGGGACAGCACCTTACCAATATCCGGGCAGGGACACAGGCAGCTGGGCTAATGGCTAGCAACCTAATTCTGGAGGATTGTGTTCAGGTTACCTGCAATCAGGCAGGAGCCAAATGAATTAGTCTGGACAGGGGGGGTCAGACTCTAGTCATGTGACCAGGAATCAGGCAGGTTAGAGTCTGAAATGCTGGGTGAGGCATCCAAGCAGCAGCCATGTAGAGGCAAGTTGTGAGGACAACTTCCTGTGCCTCTCTTTGGGTTTAATAGGAAGCCCTGAGCAGCCAGAAGTCCCGGTTTTCCTCCAGTCATGGCCAGGGGAAGTCTCCATGAAGTTGCTTCAGATGTCATGGTCTCTCCATTTGATGGGTGAGTACTGAGCTGTTGGATCTGAGCAGGGAGGTGCCAATTTACTAGAAACCCTGCAGACCCAGGTTTGAGACCCATGGGGTTATGAGAATCTGTGGCATAGCAGACCTGCATAAGAATGACCCCAAAAATTGCTCTCTCCAGGCCAACTGATTGGCAACAGACTGGATGTATTCTGGGGTGGTGAAATGGCAGTGGTGACCTGCTTTTCCACAGGTATGGGGCACCACATATTGGTATACTGTTACTGCAGCTCCAAGGTCAGTTCTGCACAGAGCTCAAAAAAGGTAGCTTCTCCCCACCCAGAAGTTTTCTTGCCATTGCTGGTCATCCCAGGTTTGCAGAATGATCTTCTCCCAGCAAAAGAATGCTTGTTTCTCAGCCTATAAACAATGCTGAATGCTGCATCACTATCCAGGAATCAGTCCTCTAGCTCCAACAGCTGGGTGTCGTCCTCTTCCTCATCCTGCTGTCAACACTTCAGAGTGCTCTCCTGATGCTGGAGGAGCTGCAGCTGCTGCCATAGAACACTGTCTTGCTCCCACAGAACCTGCTCAGTGGTGCAACTAGCAATGCTGAATGTGTCCAGCTTTGACTGCTATAATATAGCCCAAGCAAGCACTACATATTTACACCTGTCACCATAGCATTGTGAAACATTCTGGATCCATGCTGGAATACACCAATTCAAAAATGGCGCAACCCTGCCCGCAAAGGAAATATGAGGCAGAGATAGCAGAATCGTGTTTGTTTGTTTTTTTTAAATTTTGAACTCATCTGAATTCTCACAATTCCCAGAATACCTGCTGCTCAGCAAAGCAAAGGACCACTGGATACATCCTGAGAACACTACACTCTCAGTTCACAGAAAACTGCCGTTGTGTGTTCACAGAGTAAAATTTAAAATGGAACAGGCATTCCATGCCCATGGAATTGGTGTGACTTGCATTCTGAGTTACCTGACCTGCATCAAAAGCTTCAGATTAACCCCTCCCATCACCACCTCCCATGTAGCCACACCTTGCTGCTGTTTGGTGTCAGGATAGGAAAATTCCATAATATATGCAAATATTTTTTGTCAACAACATGGGAGACTTGTATAGTTTTTGTCCACATTAGAACCAATTATACAGATAATATAATTAATGATACTAAGATGAATATTCCAGTCCTAACTTCCCAGGTGTAATTTTTAGCCTTTCCCTCCTTTCACTGGATAACTTATATTTTACAATATAGCACAAGTTCAGTAGATCTCTCTCTCTCTCTCTCTGTGTGTCTCTCTCTCTCTCTCTCACACACACACACACACATACACACCTCTCAAGCACTGATATGAATTCCCTTTTCTCTCAGAAAAGAATAAAATATTATTTCCAATAACCAAGGTTTGAGGAACTAGAAGTTACAGAACAGATGCAAATTCTAAACCCATATATCGGGCAAGAAAAAGAAGAATGAAGCACATGGAAAAAAAATTGGGTTTTAAATTTCTTCTTGAACCAGGGACATAATCTTGATAAAATGTGTCAGATCTGAATGCAAAAGGCACCAATGGGTCAGGAAGGTGGGTAGACAGGGAAGTTCAGAAGTACATCATCATGGCAAAACTAATTAAATGTCATTTTAAAAAAAAATGTCCTTTATGTGTTACTAATTATCAGAACTGACTGAATCACTTACAACGAATAATCTATTTGATACATTTAATGTCTTCTGCTTGAAGAATGACCATGAGAGAATAGATTTTTTTTTGTAATTGATATTATCTCAGGGTGGCTAACGCACATAAGATGATGAGAGTCATTCTGTGGAGGCTGTGAAACATCTCAACAGCAGTAACCATAACCTAGGTTTCTAATTGGGATGACTGTGGTAAACAATGGGGAAAACCAAAGATTTACTTTTCAGAAAATCTTTTTAAAATGTAGTTTCAATATAATGAAAGGAAACAATTTAAACACAACACTATCCATGGGAGGAGCAATCTGTGGGAGGAAATATTCATTAAAATAGACTCATTTTGTGTGGGAAAACTATTCCTTCATAAACATACAAAAAACAAAGGTTGATTAGAAAATAATTCACAGCTAATTTGCAGCACTCTCTCTCTCTCTCTCATTCACACACACACACACACACACTTTTATCCACCTCAGGAAATTTAAATTGCAGGGTTGTTGTTGTTTTTTCCCTTCTGATCTATCTTTAAGCAAAAGCTGCTAATTTATTGTGCCTTTAAAGGACTCTTAGGGCAGGTCTGGGTAGTCTTAGGCCTTGTCTACACTACAAAATTTTGTCAGCAAAAGCTGCCTTTTGCCAGCAAAACAGGAGAGGTGTACACACTAAAAAACTACTTTTGGCAGCAAAACTCTGTTGTTTTGCCGACAAAATAAAACCAAGTGAAGAGGGCATAAAGCTTTTTGTAGCAAAGCACACAGTGACACTTTGCTGCAATTAGACAAAAGTTTGTTTTGTTGACATAACTGGCTTCCACCAGTATCTGCTCTGCTCACTGTTTTGCTCTCTGCTGCCCTGCAGGCATGCGCCCCTCTGCTTTCAAAGCTCTGAGAAGTATCTGACAGATGAGCATGCTGCTCCATTTGGGGAACAAAGAGCAAATCATCAGCATGGAATTCTCCTGTTCTGCCCTGCATTAGGACCACAGCAGCAGGCAGACTGCTGCTGCAGGGAGCGGGGAAGGGGAGAGAGGAGGAGGGGACTACTGCTTTGACATTCCTCAGCACAGAGAGCTCACAGAGCTGATCAGTTTGACGCTCCGGGCAGCTGAGGAGGCTTTGGGAGAACCATACGCAGGCAGGCAGAGCGGGCTGTTTCAGGAGAGACTGCTGTGTGCAGCAGAGCCGGGCGCTGACATGTGGGCTCCCCTTGCCTCAGGATAGGTCGGCCAGCCTGCTGTCTCTTCCACCCTAGACACACCACTCTCCTCTCCCTCCCCCCCCTTCAGTTGAAAAAAGCAACTGAAAATATACTAGGATGGCCCTGGAATGATGGTATTGAGAAACCTGCATCATGTGATGCTGTACCTGCCCCATGAGGCATTGCAAACCCTTCCCAAAGCACCCTGTGGCCAGCTGCACAGTGGGCTGGCTACCACAGTGCACTGCTCTCTGTGTCGATGCAAGAGCTGTTAGTGTGGATGTACTCTCCTGACACAAGGAGCTAGCATGCACATGCAACAGCGGTTTTAATTAAAGGATTTTTATTAAAGCAGCATAACTTTTGCCAACAAAACTTTGTAGTGTGTAGACAATGCCTTAAATTCCACCTGAGAGACAAGGTGGGTGAGGTAATATATTGTGTTGGACCAACTTCTGTTGGTGAGAGAAATAAACTTTAGGCCTTACACAGAGCTCTTCTGCAAGCTTGAAAGCTTGTGTCTCTCACCAATAGAACCTGATCAAATAAAAGATATTACCACTCCCACCTTGTCTCTCTAATACCCTGGGACTGACATGGCTACAACAAAACTTAAATTACACCTGTCATACAAGAAGGATCTTTCCTTCCCATGCCCCCACACACATACTCAATGCTATTCACCCCACAGGGAAGGAATGAGCTAGAGGGATGGTCATTCATTTATTTATATTAATATAGCAATAGATACCCTAATGACAATTAACTCTACATCCCCCGTATGGATGTCACCTAGAAGCTTAAATATTAATTTAAGTGCCTATTGTTTGGCATCCAAGTTGGAAAAATGTTGGCCTAAATTTATATTCCTGTTTCTGAACCTAATCCTAATCACCAGTATGGAAAAAAGGAGCATTATCTTCTAAATGTGGAATTACCTAGAGAGTGTCTCCAAGAATTGTCTGTGCAGTTGGTATGCCAGTTCAACTACAGACTTAGAAAACAAAAAGGAAATAAAACGGAAGAAACATGGAAAACGTAAAAAGTACTGTGAAAATTAAGAGGTGTGTTACCATGCTTATCCATGCTATATATCTGCAACTCCATGGACAATGACTACACGTACAAGCAAATGAAAGCAGCTGACCACGTACCCACACACCTTGGCAGAGGTGCACTCCATACACGTCGGCCACCACCAAGACAGATAATCTCCAAAGCTCCTTCTAAACGGTATCCAGATGAACAAGAGAATGTCAGAGTATCACCGACTCCAAAGTTAAATCCTATTCGGTTACCAAATGGTGGAATCCCAGGATCCTCACAAGGTTCAAGATTATATTCTGGAAATAAACAAGCAAACAAAAAATCAGCTTCTATGTGGCAAGAACTGTGATTGTTTACTCTCTATCCACCCTTATTTTTGCCATACACACTATTATTTTGCACACATTTCCACCTGACCATCAATTTAGCCTTTAGAACCATACACAAAATGAATGCACATATAGTAAATAGGTGATTCAGCTGCAGTTTGAAAATTAGACCAATACACGTTTATAGCATTTCTAAGATGCCTAACACAACATGCATTACCATTCTTATAAAAGCCATAAATGTCTCAGACACATAAAACAAACTGTACATCATGATCAATTTGCTAAAGGACTCATTTGGAATATCAGTACTTGAAATTAGGCTTGCTCCATTCCCTCCCCCCTCCCCCACCCCAGTAACATACCTTACAGTTTACTCTCTTTTTTACTTCTTAAAATGTGTACACAAATGCCTCAGCAGAGATATAAGGATTTAATTTCTTAAGGTACAACAGAAGCAATTGTGTTATTTTACAAAACACTATTCATTCAGACCAGTTTTGGACCTCTCTCTTTTCACAAAAAGTTGAATTTTCTTCACTTTATACAAATAGCTCATTTCATCCCCTTACCAGAGAAAGTAATGTTAAATCCTTCATATGATATTGAAAAATCTGAAATAAAGCGCAACTGAGCCCTGAAATTTCCATAGAGACCAGCGTTGATTGCCAAAGGAAGTTCTGATCCAGTCAGGCGTGCTAGTGGCTGAGTGAAACTGCCATTCTCTGTAATTAGTAAGTAGTCGTGATGGTCTTCCAAATGAAAGGTGTGAAAGGTGAACTGCACTCCTGTTAGAAACAAATATATATTGACATATCACAGTGCTAACATGAATGCAATTATATCACTGCTTAAATCTGTGCATTTCATTACAAATATTGATTCAGAAAATTAAACGAATCCAACATTCTAATATATATGTTTAACCTGCTTAAAATGTATAACCAACAGGTCTGCAAGGTTTTTTATTTTTATTTATTTATTTATTTATGTATTCATTCATTCATTCGTGTTGGTCAGGGTGGGTTTTTTTGTTTTGGTTTGTTTGTTTGTTTTTTAAACTTCTATATTATGGTTACCAGATTTGGATATTTGCTTTTGATAATTAACTGAAACACCCTTGTCCTTCTATTTAAAACCAAGTAATGCCTTGTTGTGAGACACCACATTTTGCTACATTTCAAAGTAAGTGCCCCCTAGGCACACAGGCTGGTCTAATGGACTGGCAGGACTGGCTGTGAAGGAAAGGATCACTTACAATATTGATGGCTAGCACTAGAAACATTTTAGTTCTGTTTGGGACAGTTTCTGAGAATTGGTCAGCTAAAGGTCCCAGCAGGAGATTTGGATGAAAGGCAGGAGATAAATGCATCCAACTCCCTCCCAATCTGCTCTCCTCTTTGTCTCTCCTCCAGCCCTTTTCCCTCTTGGCTTTGATTTCCTTTTGTTTGTTTTGTTTTGTTTTAACATGAGCCATAAAAATCCATTAGCTGGAAATATGGAGGTTAATACCGGAATCCAAGCATTGTGTCTATTCTTGTTTCTGCTGGATGGTATTTTTGTATTTGTTCTATAACTGGATTTGTTCTAACTAGAATTTGTTTGTTATAAGAATAGAGATTGAACATGTTTGTTAAGTAACAACTATAACATATATAAATATAAAACCAAGCAATGTGTCATACATGTTTGAATTTTGATGAAAAAGTCCAAAATGTTTACGCAGAATGCAACAGTTGGATTTCATTTTCTCACCAATTTCACAAAAATACAAAATAGCTTGGTTGAGATACTGTGCTGGGGGTGGGGGTGGGAGTGGGTTGATGGCAGCAGAAACTTAGGTTATACTTAGCCTGCTCTACGGTGCTGGAGGATCTTCTTCACTAGGGTGATCACCATGGTCAGCTATACCAACTTTAAGACTGCTTTGCACCAGCAATACAACTATTGCAAGCAATGTGTAGCTGTAACACATTTTGAGTTGCATCTATATCTACATGATGAATAGCAATAATTGTCATCAGAGGGATAGAAGAACTGGATCTTGCAGAAACATGGAGGACTATCTCAAAGGGGGGGAAAAAACCCTATAGATCATTAGCCAATAATGGCAAAAATCACCACTAATGGTGCAGCTGTTCTTTTACTTCTTTAATTTACTATATTCTTGGTGGATGGAGTAGTGACATTTCTATGCTTTCTGTCTGGGGATTTTTGGAAAGAAGAGGGGGTTGTGGAAAAAAGTTAATGGAAAGAAAGAAAGAAAGAAAGAAAGAAAGAAAGAAAGAAAGATTAAATACAACCCCCAAATAAGTAGGATTTTCAAATGGTTTCCTTTAAATTTGAAAGAGACAGACCAAAATCAAGGAAAGAAGGTGTAATAGCTACAATCTTGGAGAAAAGGAGGATGAAGCAAGCATTACAGCAGTAATGAAAGCAGAGACAGAGGCAACTAATGACATGTAGCTGGTGGCAAGGGAAGATGCTAACTTCTCCTTTTCCACTGTCAAAGAGCCACAGGCAGTGTTCCTTATACTTTCATAGGCAACATTACAACAGCCCTCCAGTACTAACTTTGTCTCTTTCTCCTAGGCATATATTAGGATCACTTTATTACAAACATTTCTTTACAGCTGGAGTGCTCAGTAGCATCTTATTAAGATCTGGTGTTGCTCTGTTAACATCTTTCCCAGTACTAGACTAAATTTTTCAAGATCAGGGCTGTTCAGATACTGCTGTTAAACTTGTTGCTGCAGGAGGCGTCTTAGATCATGAGTGCCTGACCAATGATAACACGATGTTTAATGTTCATGGCCCTGGTGCCACATGGTGATGAGTTTGAGCTGCTTTATCCTTACTGAAATCTGCATGGTGATAACAACTTGCAGCACATACTCCCATTAACCATAATCATGCCTGGATCACATCACAGAATCCGCCTCTTTCTGTTTAATAATGAACTACCATTTATTTCTCCCCTCTCTCAACAAGTTGAATGGTAAATAATAATAGGAATGGGTCAGTATAGACAACAATCTGGACCGCTTGGTAAGGTAGGCTTATATGAATAATATGTATTTTAATACAGTCATTTGCAAAGTCAAACATTGAGGGTGAGGGACTGTATCATGGAATGCAGTGGCACTAAAAAGATCTGTTGGCTGGAAGCTGAAGCTGGACAAATTCAAACTAGAAATGAGATGCAAATTTTTAAACAGTGAGGGTAATTAATCATTGGAACAACTGATCTAGAAATGTGGCAGATTCTCCATTACGTACAGACTTTAAAGCAAGACTGGATGTCTTTTTAAGGGTACGTCTATACCCAGCCGCTAGTTCGGCAGCTGGCAATCGAACTTCTGGGTTCGACTTATCGCATCTTGTCTGGACGCGATAAGTCGAACCCGGAAGTGCTCGCCGTCGACTGCGGTAATCCTGCTCGGCGAAGGCGTACCGCGGAGTCGACGGGGGAGCCTGCCTGCCGCGTGTGGACAGAGGTAAGATCGAAATAAGGTACTTCGAACTTCAGCTATGTTATTCACGTAGCTGAAGTTGCGTACCTTAGTTCGATTTGGGGGGTTAGTGTAGACCAAGCCTAAGATGTGTTACATCTCAAACAGAAGTTATGGGCTTGACGCAGAAATTACTGGGTGGGGTTTCCTCGCTGCGTTATGCATAAAGTCAGACTAAATTATCTTAATGGACTTTTCTGTCTTTAAAAGCTATGGATCTATGAACAAAAACATAGATCCATTTTGGATACATTACTTATTATCTCTTCTCTTAACTCACACCATGAAAGACTCCTGGCCTTTTTGTGCACAAACCCTGTCCCTACTTTACCATAGATTCCAGGGAGAGATTTATGGCAGTGTCTCAAAACCATGGGATACTCAGCAGTTTCAGCTAAGTTTCACTTTGAGTTTTGTTCAAACCCAGAAATCAAAGTCTAATTCAAGGGTATGTTTGAATCGCTTTCCTTCCCAGTTTGTGATGACATTTCTAAGCACCAAAGTATATCCCAATTGTTGTTGCACAACTCAGTTCTTAGCAGAAAAATGGCCTAATCATTTTAATGTACACTGTGTGACAGATTATGCTATCTCGGGAGAAAAAGTTTAAAAGAAATGTTTTGGGCAGGGATTTGTTTTGTTTTCATAAATAAGATAGGAAGATATATGAAACTCAAGCTTTCTCTTTCAGTATTATGAACCTGGTTGTTTTGATGAAAAATCTTCCATTAGTTCATAAATTTAATTGTAAATTTGATATTTCATAGATTGTATCATTTCATAGAGAACATAATAAGAATAATATTGTTATTGTAATAAAGTAAAATAAAATACAAATGATGACGTGCTTTTTTTAAACCTAAAAAATACAAAAAAAAATCATTCCATAATATACACATCCCTCCCTTTATCACATAAGAGCAGTTTGAACACATACAATAATTATTTGCAGAAGCATTTTGCATGTTTCTATCAAAGGAAATTATGTGCTTGTTTTTCAGTTACTTCTAGAAGTTTTACTATTTAATATTACTAAGGTTTTTTGAGATACATATGGATCTTAATAGTGTTCCATGAGAAATATATTTAAGGTATATTTAAGACTACCTATAGTCTGGGGCATAGATGAGAAGTGGAGTTAAAATACATGTCTTTATATTGCAGGTCATACTTAATGTTTTATTAATATAATTTTTGCATGCTTGCAGGCTAAGTGTTAATTGTTGTAGTGTAATTGCACTTTGTGTTGGTTAGGCAGTTGAACCTGAGCTGCATAATTTGCATATCCATATCCAGGAAGTGATGGACCTATTGGAAGGAAGGCTTAGCCCTGACATGGAATGTTATTGCCCTTGCTTTTCTGACAGGGAGGTCCTTTCAGGTCATTCAGTCACCCATTTGATGACATTCCTTGTGGCTTTCACATGTAACAGGGGAGATCACATGAAGGTTGTCATCTCATTCACCAAGATGTGAATTCACTGCCACTCTCCCGACCCATATCCAGGAAACCTTTCTGGATCCATATGTCAATACTACACACCAATGGAAAGGAGACCAGCCCTCACTGGTTGAATTGTGGGCCGCTTGTGATTCTCCAAACAAAGCCCTGATAGAATATCCAACAAAAGAAGTCCCAGGATTCTGCCTTCCCCACAGGAAGTGGACTTCACTCATCTGCATACAGACAATGTATTGAAGATATGCATATTTCCTCCACAAATGAAAATCAAAGAATCACCAAATTGTGACTGTGGTGAGATACAAACCATATGACACATCACGGACAACTGCCCCACTAACACTTACAGTAGTGGTACAAGGGGGAATCCACCTAGCTACTCCAGAAATATTAGAATGGCTTTCAAATCGTAACATTCAATTATAATCACAGCCTGTTGCTTTCCAAATGGCATCCAAAAGAAGAAAAAGTGTTAATTAAATTTGTATTTACACTGAAGGAAATCTGAAGCCTTAAATGCCTTCCTATGTAATGTATGGATGTGCATTTTAAAACTGTACTGTGCCCCAGACCTGCAGGTAGTCTACACTACACTACCAACCATAAATCTGGCAACAGCTGAGAAAAAACATAAAAAGCAATATAGAAAATTTAATTAGAAAAAAATACTATTCCACTTAAAATTGGGACAAATATGAGACTTGTTGACCTCCTTCATGTCTAATACATGTTACACTGTAGCTTCAGCCTTTGAGACCATCAACCACACTTCTTCTTGAAATCTTACCCTCCCTTGGCTTCTGTGACTCGGTCATCTCCTGATTCTCCTGCTACATCTCTATCTACTCCTTCAGCATGTCCTTCAAAGGATCTTCCTCATTTCCCCTCCAAATTTTGGTGGAGATTTAAAATGTCCTTTTCTCTTTTCTCTCTACACCTTATCTCTGGGTACTCTCCTTTGAAAAAACAAATTCAACTGTATGATGATGATTCATAGATCTACCACTCTACTCCTGATGGTCTCCTTCTGTCCAAACTATATTATCAACCTGTCTCTCTGACATCTCCTCATGGATGTCTAGCCCTTAACTCAAGATGAATATGGCTAAAAGAGAGCTTTTAATCTTCCCCCAAGCCCTCACCACTGCTTCCGTTTTTGATCACTGTGGGTATCACCACCATCCTCCCTGTCACTCAGACCATAACATTTCTGTATAACAAGTGGTGAAGATACAGCCTTTTTTTCCCCTTCCATCTGGTTAAACTCTCTAGGCTCTCACCATCTTGCATCTTAATTACTGCACAATCGTTTTCTGTAGCCTTGACAAATGCAAACTTTTCACACTAATAACCATTCAGAATGCTACAAAGATCATTTTCCTAACCCACTGCTGTGGCCATGTCACCCCTCTTTTTGCATCCCTCCATGGGCTCCCTCTTCTCTTATCATATCAAACATAAGCTATTTGACTTCACTTTCCAGGCCTTTCACCGTGTATCCCCTACCTTACCTATCAACTCTTATATGCTATTTAGACACCATTTGTCACCGCCAACTGGCCAACAATGCCAGCCTTCATCACCCACTCGTTTAATTTTCAAACAAGCAACTTCATGCTTTTCTCTATGCTGCCTGTCTTGCTTGGAAGTATCTCCCCATGAACATCTGCTAAGCCATCTCATTGTCATCCTTCAAAGGCCTCCTTAAACTCTCCTTTGCTGTAATGCCTAAAAAAACTTGAAAACAGTTAAATGGATGGTGTGCTGTTACCACTACCTATTATGCTGAAAATACCATCTCATTGTTTCCATGTGTTCCCTTGACTATCTGAGTGTATCCACCTGTTGTCTCTTGTCTTACACTTAGATTGTAAGGTCCTTGGGGCAGGAGCCATCTCTTTGTCCTGCGTTTGTACAATGCCTTGCACAATGGGGTCTTTTGTCCACGACTGGGACATATAAGTGCTGCCACAGTATAAATCATAATCATCATAATTAATAATGTTTACAGTAAATCTCCCAGCCCATCAGTGCTAACCTGGTTTTGCATATGGGGCATGAAATAGCAAACAAATAAAGAAGACTGAAACAAAAATACAATTAAATCTCTTACCTTTTCCATGGGTGACATCCACAGTCCATGTACAATTCAGTGAATTTGGGTACAATTCAGGATAACCAGGGGATAAAATTGTTCCACTAGGTCCTCTAACATCTCCTCCACATAAGGCTAAGAATAATAAGGGACATATTAATACAATAGACATGTAAAACCTAGACATGTAAAAGAGCAAAGAAAGTTATTGTCTCTTTTTAAACAATGATCTATCTATATGAGTGATTCAACAATTTCCTCTGCAGCAAATCTCTAATTTTAGCTAAAAATTTACATAAAGTGATCAGAAATTAAATATGATAAATTAATTGATAAGGTGATTTTATAAATATCATCAAAATGAATTGCTAATTACACCAATTGTTTTCTGAGAATTCCTTATGAAAAATGTATTCTTCTTATAAATAAATAATTTACATTTTCAGAATCATAGTGAGCAATGACACACATTATTGTAAGTCTTAAAAAGAGCTGAAGATCTAATAGGACAGAAACGACAGCCCAAAGTGAACAGAAGGGGGATTCGGGGAACATCTCACAATTCCTTATCCTGACGTTTCCATCTGATAATGGCGAGAGACTATGAGCACATACTCTAGTCAAGGACAGGTGAGATGAAGGAATGCACATATTCCTGTTCCTATAGCTGCCAGACCAATTTTTCCCCTTCTTTTTACCGCTACAAGTGCTGAATTTAACTTATACAGACTTTAATATAAATCTTTCCTTAGATTTCAACAAAAGCTGGATGAGGCCCACACAGGGACAAATGCACCTGATTTTATGGAAGTCACAAGCCTACATCAAGTTAAGGACAGGCCTCTAGATAAAGAGGTAACCAAATGGTCTAGTGGCCCATTCATAATGACCATCCTAGCCTATTATCATAAAATCATGGGTTAGAAGGGACTGCTAGGGTCATCTAGTCTAACCCCCTCCCTGCCAAGATACAGGATTTGTTGTGACTAAACCATCCAACACAAATGGTAGTCGTCAATTTCAGAATAGGTAATTTTATAGGATAGTTACCAACATTATCAAGATTACCAGTGACTAATAACCAGAAGATTTTTTGAAGTTTGTATTTTCACTGGTCACCTGACTAGGACAGCTAAACTGCAATTCCTTCTCTCTCCCCTACATCCAGATTTGTTACTCAGAGCTGCAGATTACCCTTACATTAAAGTTTAGAATGACTTTAGAAAGGAATCCATTGCACACATTTTAATGGGGATGAGACATTATAGATTTTAGAAAATAATATATGTTTTCCTCAAGAATATGGCACTGTACAGTGCTTGTTACCATGAACAGTTATTTCTCATTATCGGTGTCTACAAGATTCTCTAAAAAAACCTGCATTTTTTTTAAGCCATCAACATGGGCCATTTCAGTTTGAAAATTAAAAGTATTTACCCCTTTCATTTTTCTCAGCCTTATTATATTTGGTATCCAAAGTGGGTTTTTTTCTTCTGCTGGTCCCAGGACCTTTAAAAACAGCCAACTGTCTCCTTGTCAATGGATTTCATTAACTAACATAGATTACTTCAGAAAAGTTTTACTGCAATTCTTAATTAACATTAGTCGCTTTTCTAAATTAATTAACATAAAACTCTCTTATCAACCTCAAATAATCAAACTTTCAGTAAGTGTCCTTTCAGAATAAGATGTATTGGCTTAAACCGTGGTTTCTGTTAGACAGAATCGTAAAACAGTATTCAACACCACATTTCTGTGTATTTTTGTTGCAAATTATGGGTTTTAATATGGTATCAAAAATGGCATAAGAATGATGATATGCCAAATCCAGGGGGTTTGTGCTGATGCTGCAATGAGAAGCATTGAGGTCCAGATTGTTTTGGATAGACTGGGAGGTGCTGTATTGGTTGTCTATAGAAGCAATAGAATTTGGGGGGACTGAAGCCAAAATTTGCCTGCATGCAGCAGTATTCAGGTGTCAGATTTATGTTCACTGAGATGTTTCAGTGTTCAGGTGTTTTGTTGATGTGCTTTTGTTTTGTTGCTGCTGCTGCTACATTTAGATCAGCTAGACTCAGGGTACGTCTACACTACGAGATTAATTCGAATTTAGATAATTCGAATTTGGGAAACAGATTGTATAAATTCGATTGTGCGCGGCCACACTAAGCACATTAATTCGGTTTTTAACCACATTAATTCGGTGGTGTGCGGCCACACTACCCCATTAATTTTAACCACATTAATTCGGTGGTGTGCGGCCACACTACCCCTAATTCGAATTTACAAAATCGATTTTGGTGCTACTCCGCTCGTCGGGGTGGAGTACAGAAATCGATTTTAATCGCCCTTTAATTCGAAGTAACTGGCTCCGTTGTGTGGACGGGTTAAGGATTAATTCGGATTAACGCAGCTAAATCCGAATTAAAGTCGTAGTGTAGACCAGGCCTCATTCTCTATTTTTGTGATGCAATTTGGGTGCTTGGCTCAAAAAATCAGCAAAGTCCAGTAGGCTCCAGCTAGGTTCAGCTTTTACCACTTTTTATACTTCCACAAACTGCTGACCAGTCACTTCTAATTATGTACCCATCACCTTGTAGCGCACTCATAATGGAATTCCACCTCCGATACATTTTACATCACAGTGGAACAATCCACAAAGGCAAGCATTGGGCTCATTCACAGCTCTTGTAGTTAAAATGCAGTTTTCATAAATAGTTTGGGAATAACTTGGAATGCTTTCTTGAAAAACCTAATTGGTCTGACTGCTCTAGTTTTCCCCTGACTTTTTCCCAAAGTACCTTCACAAAAGGGTTTCACTCCTCTCCCCACTTCTAACAGAGTTTCCTGCCTCTGAACCTCAATCATGCTTTAAAGATGCATGCTGTACTCCTGGGGGCATTATGCACACACACACACACACACACACACACAAAAATCTGCACATTTTATTGTCAAATAAATGTGGAAGCTCCAGCATAGTATTGGGGAGCATAGGCCACTGGCTGCACAAAGGTGGAAGATCACTATGGTCTATTTTTAAACCCTACCAAAATGATTGCAAACATCAGCTTGCCTCTGTACCCATATGTTATAGTGTCTATATAGATTCAGGTTTCAAAGTAACAGCCGTGTTAGTCTGTATCCGCAAAAAGAACAGGAGTACTTGTGGCACCTTAGAGACTAACAAATTTATTTCAGCATAAGCTTTCGTGGGCTACAGCTCACTTCTTCAGATGCATAGAGTGTTCAGGACTTGTTCTCGGCAATTATTTTAATAGTGTATTTGGTGAACTATAACAGGGACTTTTTTATTGTAAATAACAGTACCACCGAAAATAATGTAAAATTTCTAAAGCATTCTAAAATTACGGACAGAAGTGGCTGGTGAAACAAAAGCAGCTGGGAGACAAAAGGTGTTAGCCAGCTGAGTTCTCCTGAACAGAAAGGCAGGGAGGTACAGGTTATTTTGTTTGCTTGCTTGTTTGTTTGTTTTCTCCTTAACTTACAGATACTCTACAAGGAAGAACCCACAATGGGAGACAAATGGCACATTAACACCACCACTACTAGCTCTCCTCTGATTGCACTTGTGGGGCCCTGGCAAACAGGCATCCTAACCCTGGACGCTTCCACACAAGCTTCTTGATTTGTTAGGAATCTGGCTTGCATGTCCCTGCCAAAGAAAGCTCAGCAGGGGGGACAAGTTGGTGTTTGTTGGTGGACTCCCTCAGGAAGCAGGTAAGAGAGCTGCAAGAAAAGGTGGCTCATCTACATAATATCCAGGAACACAAGGACTTCATTGACAGGATGCACATGGAGACATCCAGGATGGTGCTAGTTGGCTACAGCAATACCACAGGGGAAGGAGAACCACAACTCTGCAGGGAGGAGACTGGCTGATGGCCACCTCAGGCTGTAGACAGTGCTCCACCCTGCACCCAGGCCCCCCATCCATTGGGGCCAAGATTCAGTATACTTTCCCGGCAACAGCAGAAGAAGACCCTAATGGAGGAGGAGGAGGAGGAGGCAACTGCCCCAGAGGCAGGCAGAGTCATGAACATGAGATATAGGGTGGTGATTGTCTCCTTCTGAGGAAGAAAGAGGCATCCATCTTCTGACCTGACATGATGTCCAGCGAGGTATCCTGCCTGCTTGGAGCCCACATCTGAGACATTACAGAAAGATTGCAAAGACTCATGTATCCCTCTGTCTACTAATCAATGCTGATCATCCATGTGGACACTCATGATACTGCCAGGTATGGCTCTGAGAAGATCAGCAGTGACTAGATGGCTCTAGGACTGAGAGTGAAGGAGTTAGGGGTACAGGTTATGTTCTCATCCATCCCCCTTGTTAAGCATAAGGGTCAGGGCTACGACATGTGCAACCTGGAAATGAATGCATGGCTGTGCAGATGGCATCAAGAGGAGGGCTTTGGCTTCCTCAACCATGTTCAGGGAAGGAGGGATGCTAACAAGAGATGGCATCCACCTGACCAAGAAGGTGAGATGACTCTGCATACCGACTTGCCAACCTATTGAGCAGGACTTTAAACAAGGTTAAAAGGGGGCAGATGACAAAAACTGACAAGTGGGTATACAAAGTGGTGACCTAGAAAGTGGAATATAAGTGTGGGTGGGGGGAGAGGAGAAATGGTAAATTTCAATAGGGTCATAGGAGCAACAAGCTGGAATACAGTGGGGGAACCTGCTCAACTTCTAAGCTATCTATACAAAAACACAAAGCAAATGGGAATAAACAGGAAGAACTGAGCGTCACAGTACACAAGTTGAATTGTGACTTAATTAGCATCACAGAGACTTGGTGGGATAAATCTCATGATTCAAATATTGGTATAGAGGTGTATAGCTAGTTCAGGAAGGACAGGCAGGAAAAAAGGGAGGAGGTGTTGCCTTATACATGAAGAACATATAGACTTGAGTTCCGTGAAGTTGTGAGAGGCAAACCAGTTGAAATTCTCTGGGTGAAGATAAAATGCAGGGGTGAGGTGAGAGAAACAGGAGCAAAGCCATGTCAGGAATCTACTATAGAATGCCAAATCTGGAAGAGGAGGTGGGTGAGGTAATTCCAGAACAAACAGAAATATCCAAAAGTCAAGATCTGGTAGTAAT